AAGAACTTTTTCTCCTGATAAATCAGATAACAATGGTTAAAATACAGTTGGGCGTGGTCATAAGAGATGGAGATTACCCAATATACTCTCGCTCGACCCCCCCTAATCCCATCATCTCACTAGTTTCACTATTTCACGTAACTGTCACGTGACGCAACACAATCGGACGACAGCTGTGGCCCTTTCATAATGTTTGTTCATATTAAATTATGGACAACATTATTACATAAGTGTCATTTTCTCCGAACTAGTGAGCAAGAATCGGTCGATATACGGTTGACAGTGAAATTATGTTATAATACGACTCATCAGCTGACCGAGGTGTTATCAAACGGCACAGAGATGATCCGAATGCGTTCATTCAATGCCTTCTTGATATTCTGTGTCTATTATTTGGGTTTTGGGGCGAAAAAGCAATAAATCTGTTCTTCACACGTGCTTCATATATATCCAAGACGTTATTGCGGTATATGTTGCAAACGAAATATATTTCTTATCTAAAAAGCGTTTCCTAGTAGTGTTTTTATGCTATGTAAGAGAAGCTATAATCGCTAAGATCGCAATGTAAACCAGCACCGGGACAAAACGCACTTGTCCTACAACAGCTGTAGAATGTCTCGAAAGTATTAAACTAAAAACGAGATAAGTTTCGTGACTTTCGAGTCGAATTGAAAAGAACAAGATCCAGGGTAGAATAGGTCTTCAGCAACCCATTCCGTAAAAGTCGACTATGCTTGTCGTAAAAGCCGACAAACGGGATCGGGTGGTCAGGCTCGCTGACTTGGTTGATGCATGTCAACGATCCAAATTGCGTGGATCGATGCTCATGATATCAATCACTGGATTGCCTGATCCAGACTCGATTATTTACCGTGAGACCGCCGTCATATAGCTGGAATATTGCTGAGTGCGGTGTAAAACAACAAACAAAGACAAAGAAAAGAACAATGTTTTGGTCTTTAAAAATACACGTTAACGAGGTTGGAAGCTTACGCTGTGAAAACCACTTTTTTCAGAGCACAGATCCAGTTATGTTCTTAAATCCACAAAGTGAAATAACCCCCTTTGAAGATTCATTCCCGTGTCTTGCAGGCTTGCGTCCTCACTAAGTGCAGAAGACGTCAGTGATAAAACCTAGAGAGAGATCGCAGCTTTTAAGGGATATTTTCAGAGTGGTCCTTTTGCCTAATCATCTTCACAGGGATTAGCCCTCTGTAATCCCGGGCTATTCCGGTAAAGATTGATTTTTGCTTGATAGAAATGTGACCACTTCTCTTGAGACTATGCGTTGCATCTTGCAATATTTACAGTGTGTAAACATCTCATATATATCCTTGTATATGTTCATGTTGTACAGGGGGCACGGGTGGCCCAGTCGTCTAAGGCGCCGCGATTCGCTGTGCAGAGTTGCGTCCCTTGGGCACGCCAGAAACCTATGATTGTGGGTTCGAATCTCGGTTCGCCCCGATTATGTTTCTAGGTTTGTCAGCACCATACCCGTGCTCGTTGGTTTCACCGAAGTGGTAAACGTCTGAGACCTGCATCACGTCGGGCTTTCCTCCCACATTAAGCTGATACGCCGTGATATAACTTGAATACTGTTAAAAGCGGCGCTAAACCCAACTCACTCACTCACTCATGTTGTACGACCCGTGAAGATCCGGGGTAGAATAGGTCTTCAGCAACCAATTCTTGGCGTAAAAGGCGACTATGCTTGTCGTAAGAGGCGACTAAGAGGATCGGGTGGTCAGGCTCGCTGACTTGGTTGATACATGTCATCGTACCCCATTTGTGTAGATCGATGCTCATGATGTCAATCACTGGATTGTCTGATCCAGACTCGATTATTTACAGACCGCCGTCATATAAAGTGAATATTGCCAGTGCGGCGTTTAACAACAATAAACAAACAAAATAAAATATTGTAGTTTGCTTGTAGTCAGTTCAGTTCAATACAGGAACAAAACAAATCAAAACTATCCCTTACGCTCATTAATAAATATCGAATTATATTTTCACAAATCTCCCAATATCAGCGTTTTGTAGATTCATAACGGTAGACATATTTGGACAAGGGAGAAATGACTCGGTCAGGTTCTGTTACATCCTCGATAGTACAGAGTATTACATGTTCATTCTATTATGATAAATACTGAGGAGCCTATTCGTGATCAACTCGTGTTATTACGGGACAAACCGAATAGCATCTCGTGCCCCTCTCGTAGCCAATTTTGCGACTGGGTTGCGTCTGTCATAGTTCTTAAGTCACTTTCATTATGGATTAATTGTAGTGAATTTAGAACTTTGTCATAGTTCTAAAATCACTATTATCAGTCCATAATTATAGTGGTTTTAGAGCTATGACATGTCTACGCGCAAACAGTTAAAAGAATTGTCAACTCGTGGCGTAATGATTCACGTATATTTCCCCTATATGTCATATATATTCCTGATGTTTTTTAAACACATCGGTCTTACAGTATTTTTATACAGTGTGATTGAACACATTTAACTGTATCTAGGGTATATGTTTAGATGCAAGACATATTTAAAATAAAAAATTATCCCTGAGGGATTCTTTGACCGAAGTAAAAAATATGTTTAGAATATAAACACAGACAAGACATGCTTAGGTCTAAACAAGATTTGGAATGTGTTTAAATCTTAAACCGAATACATGTACACATATGGCGAGTTCTATCTAAACGCATTTATGAGGTATCGTCTCAGAGCCTAAACACCACCCAAACATAATAACCCCATAATCTAAACATGTTCAGAATTTAAACACGTAAATATAAATTGCCTGTGCAAGAGAATAAATTATCCCCCGAAACAGATTCCATTTGGCGTTAAAGGGCCATGATGTGGAAGTTGTATGAATGGACCATTGAAGATCGGTGATGACACCAGGTGTTCGCGAAAAGGGTAAGCATGTCCTGCCCCAACGGTAGCACCAACCACTCACACCCTTAAAACATGTTTGAACACGCCTCGAATTTTAAAATGTTTAAAGTTAAAACATGTTTCGAATATAAACATGCTCAAACGTGTTTAGAATTTAAACCTGTTTCAATAAAGTGCATATCAGTAGGCAATTGGTCAAATATGAATAAGATGTATAATATATATTGAAATATATGTGCAAATCAAATATACAGGCACTTGCATAACACATATACGTATAGCTGAAATATTGCTGAGTGTGGCGTTAAACAAAAAACAAACAAACCACCAAGATTTGGTAAAACATCAACATAAACAACTTAACCAAATTCGGTTAATGGTGACTAGGACAATTGACACTTGTGACGATAACAGTCTCCGTTGTTTATGAATGATAGACAGAGATATATGAAATGTTTCAGTGACTGGTGACGATGGGGTCTTTATTTTAAACATGTTTAAAGTTTAAACACGTTCGAACATAGTTCGAATTTTAAAATGTTTTACGTTAAAACATGTTTAGAATTTAAAACCTGTTACAATAAAGTGCATAACACTTGGTAATAAGGCAAAGATGGATAAGATGTATAATATATATTGAAAATTATGTGCAAATCAAATATACGGGCACTTGCATAACCCATATACATATAGCTGAAATATTGCTGAGTGCGGCGTTAAACAACACAACACAACACAACACAACACAACAACCCCCCCCCCCCCCCCCCCCCCCCCGAAAAAAAACAAAAAAAACAACACCAAGATTTGGTACATCAACATAAAAACCAAACAATTTAACCAAACTCGGTTAATGATGACAAGGACATTTGACACTTGTGACGATAGCAGTCTCCGTAGCATAGGTGGTAGCGTGAAGGACTACAAATAAAGATGTTGCATGTTCGTAAAGGTCTATGTGTTTAAAATGTGTTGCTGTACGACAAGTAGTGTTTCTTTCGTACAGGAAGCTGCCAATGAAAGTATATCTGGTAACTACTATACACATGTAACATTTTTTAGTTACCACCACCCACCTCCAAACTGATAAATTTATACTGCTTTAAAAGCTTTGTTAAGATTAACGACGCTTCTTAACGGCATTCTGTGGTTGCATACTGCACTGTGCAATCATTACACGCTAATGGTTATAGACGAACGAGCGGGCTCTAGAGACACCGAGATATTTCTACAATGTAGTGTCCTTCAAGCAGCACAGCATTGAGTGTGTTATCGTACACATGCCTAAAATCAATATACAACGACGGAAATATTCTGCCCAATTGGCCTTCCCTTCGGCTGGGAGTGAGCGGTGGACTACACACGTCATGCTGGGCCAACTAGTCTTAAAGCAAGTAGTCTTGTGTTTTTGTCAGGCATAGTTTTAAATACAAAAAATATCAGGTGTTGTAGCTGAAGCTGAAAAAATATCAAATGGTCGGTCCCTAAACAGCTTCCCTGATTTGATTTGTGCCATATGGTCCCGTGTTTCTCCAGATGAACACGTGCCATGCCTTTGCATGTGTTTGTTATAGGGTGCCATCAGATGCGCTCATCTTTTCGCAAAACATCTGGTACCATCACTATTTGTTTCTGATTAATAAACACATGGACCCGTGAAGATCCGGGGTAGAATAGGTCTTCAGCAAGACATGCTTGTCGTAAGAGGCGAATAACGGGATCGGGTTGTCAGGACTTGGTTGATGCATGTCATCGTATCCCAATTGAGTTGATCGATGCTCATGATGTCAGTTACTGGAATGTCTGGTCCAGACTCGATTATTTACAGACCGCCGTTATATAGCTGGGATATTGCTGAGTGCGGCGTTAAATAACACAAAAACAAACAAAATAAACACATGCTAATGGTATAATCGTAAACAGTTTTGTCGATTTTATTGGATCATAAATGTAACTAACAATTAGTGAGTGAGAGTATTGTTTTACGCTGCTTTAAGCGATAGTCCAGCAATATCATGTTCGAGGACACCAGAAATGGGCTTCACATACTGTACCCACGAGGAGTAACTAACACTAGAATTCTGCTCTTTCAGCTGACGGGACAGGCAGAAAGCCATGCTGACATGTTGGACAACATGAACACAACCGGACGTGACCGCAGGAACATCCATGACGTCATATACACTCCGGAGTACATACTTTTCTCCATTGCAATTTGTGTGCTGTCGATTGTCGGAACGGCAGGAAATATTCCAGTGCTCGTTGTGTATTTTCGTCGAAAGGATAAAAAAACGTCAAATACTTTCATAAAAATTCTGGCGCTGATAGACCTATTAGTGTGCATGCTTATTATGCCATATACACTGGTTTATGAACTTCATTTGGTGTATTCGGGTATTGCCTGCAGATTATTCGAATATTTTAGACACTTCGCCATCATTTCATCGAATGTAACAGTGGTTGCCATAGCAGCGGAAAGATATTTTGCAGTGTGTCATTTCGCGAAACGGTTCACTGTTAAGCAAGTGAACTGTGGAATGATAGTTGTCGTGACAATAAGTGGTATCCTAGCAACACCTGCAGTCATGATCTTTACACTTGTAACAGCTGATGAAGTCAGGGATATTGAGTGCCAATTTCCACATCCCGGAAATGCGACCCACTTCTGCCACTTTACGACATCACTAACCGGACCCCTGGTAGCGTATCTTTACCAGAGTCTTCTCATGTTGTCATTCTTCATCTCTCTCATACTCATTGTCATATTTTACGCGATAGTTTATTCAACGCTGTGGAAAAGAACAAAGTTGAGAACTACACAGAATCGACAAATTGCGACAATCGGAAACGAGGACGAAAGTGTTCGCTCTGCTGACAATAGCTTGAGCGTTGTTAAAGGCGATTGTTCGGAAGTTTCCGATCAGAAAGAGACATCGTTTGTCGAAGATTGCAAATGTGCCAGCGGAGGTACCCTTGGAACTTCAATAAGGAACAAAAGAATTGGGCTTCATTATCGAACCGCAAAGATGTTATTCATGTGTACTGTGATATACCTGATAACCTGGGTGCCATTTTGGTTTGATATATTTGGCGCCACGCAGTTTCTTCTCCTTAGATACATGTTTTTCCTCGGCAACGCCACAAACCCCCTTGTTTATGGTATCGTAAATTCTCATGTGAGGCATTCATTCTTGAGACTCCTTCACGAGTGTAAACCAAGCGTTAGTTTTGTGTTTAAGGTAGATGTTCCGAAGTCACCTGCATCAAAATGCAATGAAAACTAAATAAATTAAAAGGGGTTCTATTTAAAACGGCACCGACTGGCGAAAACGTCACCTCGCCTGAAGCGAAAACGGCTACTTCTGTCTGACGAAAACGCCACCTTATTTTCTTAATTACCTTGGTACTGAAATAAATGAAATTAAACTCACATTTTCAGTAATTGTGAAATGTTAAAACATGTTTACATCAGTAATTAGCCTCTACTCCAATTTGAATACACAAGTTTGATTGTGTGTATTCCGACAAATAGTAGCCGTTTTCGCCAAATGGGGTGCTGTTTTCGCCCGAGAAATCGGTGACGTTTTGCTGAGGTGCCGGTTTAGCCTGCACCCGATTAAAAGCACTTGATATGCTTGCTTTGTTCGTATGGAATGATTTGTAGAGTTTTGTAAAACATGAAATCAATCTTTTATTGATTTCAATTTCCTGGTGTCCATGTGTTATCAAGAGAATAGCGACACTTGAAGCATCCTACACTCTCGGAGGCTGAAACGGTTTGCACTGATTTGAAGAAAAATGACCACTTAAAGCATGAAAGGGATGAATGTGACACACTTTGGAAACGCATATTCGATTCCTTTTTAACTTTGGGGCAAAATGGCCACAACAAAATCAAATTAAGTGGCTCTCTGTATTTAGGGATGAGATGATCAAACACAACAATGTCGTCGCACAGGTACGGATCTTATTGCTGAACGATCATTGTGGGCTGTTAATATAACAAAAACACGGGGCGGTCGGGTAGCCTGGTGGTTAAAGCGTTCGCTCGTCACGCCTAAAACCCGGGTTCGATTCCCGACATGGGTACAATGTGTGAAGCCCATTTCTGGTGTCCCCCGCCGTGATATTGCTGGAATATTGCTAAAAGCGGCGTAAAGCTATACTTACTCACTCACTCACTCACAAAAAACACGTGTGAGTATCAGGTTCCCAACAACACGCAGTTATTCAAATTATGCGCCGTGCATTAACATGCACGTGGAAATTGTGAATCACGACCTTTAAATGTCTTCACGAATATGTATTGAAAGATGCATTATTTATTTTCAGAGTATATTTATTTTTATTCAAGCACAGTTACGTTTTTCCGTTAATTCGTTCAGAGTGTATTTTATCTTTTAGACATTTGTTGGTTCGCCGCTGGTTTGTTATTTTTGTACGCCAAGTGGAATTTGTTCCGTCGGATAATCGAGACTGGTTAATCTCTGTTGTTGACGTTCTATATTGTATACATGGAGTCTGGTAATAAAATATCTTAAGTGTATTTTCTATGCAGTCTTGAATAACAGCGTTTTCATCAGACATTTGGCTACAATAAAGAGAGAAATGCACTTGAGCTGAAAACAGTTTGTTTGCGTATGCGTTGCGCGGCGTACTCTGTACAATTCTGACCAAGAGAAAGCAGCTGGTCAAAACACATTGGTTTGTGTATGAATGTGCACCTCTGCACGTTTGCGTCTTCGACCGAATTGAGTCTGCCCCAAATTGGACGTATACGCAGGGCGCATACGCAAAGGTAATTCCGTTCTGACGTCATATCTTTTACGTCACTTGAGATATGCCTCCACGTGTTATAGAAACGAAGTCATTGAACGTTGAAATGATGTAAGGCAAAACCAGGCGCTTTATGATTCCAACAACAAAAAAGCCAATACTTCAACAATATTTGGACAGACATAGTTGACCTTTTGCTTGTGAAAATGATCAGATGGTTAGTATAGAATCCATGTGGGAGTATTGATATGATATGATTCATGTCTCTTCATATGACGTGATTCATCCTCACTGTCAAATTCTACATATTCAAGACGTCTCCAGTCCAGGAGACCATGCTTGCCGTAAAAGGCGACTATGCTTGTCGTGAGAGGAGACTAACGGGATCGGGTGGTCAGGCTCGCTGACTGGTTTGGTGCATGTCATCCATCCCATTTGCGTGGATCGATGCTCGTGATATCAATCACTGGATTGTCTGGTCCAGACTCGATTATTTACAGACCGCCTTCATATAGCTGGAATATTGCTGAGTGCGGCGTAAAACAACAAACAAACAAACAAACCAACCAGGATGCCATGCTTGTTATTATACAAAATTGTCAGCACCATACCCGTGCTCGTGGGCAAACGTCTAAGTAAACGTCTAAGACCTCCATAGCTGACTAGTTCACTCACTAAAAAAGCTACACGTGAATGTATTTCTCGCGCATATATATACGCGTACAATGTTATTATAACTTCGCACATGCAACATGTATATGCATTACGTGTACGGGCATACGTGAACACGTGTGTTCCCAGCTTAAGATTGACGTTCGCAGCAACAGCCAACAATATCACACATGCATCTCGCAAATAACATATGGTTGCCCTTGACGTTTTCGCTCAGTGGCGGTTTTAAACAATATCTCTCCCTTTGGAACGCACTTTGCTCATTAACAAAGCCATATTACCGCTACGAACGTCTGTATGTGTGAGTTACGACCATCGTAGCATACGGTCGTTTTGTGACTGAACCATGGAGACATAGATTGTGAGCTTGAGTCCCGGAGATTAAACCATTACGATGACGTCACACTATTGTTGTTTCTGTGGATTCTGGGCCAGGAAATCACTGGCCTTTCTGAGAGTGCAGTTTAACTAGTTGTTAAAAATGTTTAAATGTCAATAATTAGATAAACAAAATAAAATCGACGACTCTCGTCATTATAACATTCGAAAACCGACACAGGAAGACATTAAAAATATATCATCATGACCATGAGATCGTTAACGCCTGTTAATACCTTCGGCCATTTATGTCCATTTCTTGTAATCTTTATCTTTATCTCATTAGACACATAGCCTAAATGATCTTGACATGTTTTCGTCAACAGGATTTAGTGTATCATTAGACAGTGGAGGCTCCTCGTAAACAACTATATCTAGGTTATGCATTGTCCTATCATAAGACCACCTCCCTTGTCTAGTGGTAGAGCGTCCGGCCGGAAAGCGGAAGGTCCGAGGTTCGATGCCCGGCCGCGTCATACCAAAAGACGTTAAAAGATTGTACTTGTTGTTACCCTGTCAGGCGCTCGGCATTAAGGGGCTAAAACAAGCACTGGTCGGCTCGGAGTCAGTATACTGTGTCTGAGTGGTGTATTCATGTTAAACTGCGACATGGTATCTCAGTGGGCTAGCACTATAAATCGGTATCAGTTCGGACTAGTACTAGCAGCCACACACACACGAACACATGAATGCACGTTGCTATATAAGCGCAATACTCTTGGACGATTCTAAGCCTGACTTTCAGCTATGTGCCATAACGAAGTGAACTAGTCAATGTAGTACATTGTTTGAGTAGGTCATTGCAAGTGTATTTGACCTATTGAGGCCGTTTGTATATTAGACAGCCAGTTGAACGCGATAGGGGTCCAAATGGACACAGAAATGGAAAAGAACGAGTAGGTACAAGTTTTTGACTTTAGAGAAAAGTACACCCCAAGAAATCCATAACCGCATGTCACAAGTGTATGGGGTTAAGTGTCCTAGCTATTCCACTGTTAGACGTTGGGCAGCTTTGTTCAAGGCTGGGAGTACAAGCCATGGTGATGACCCTAGATCTAGACGTTCCTCAGCTTCCTCAATGAAAATTCAACCAAGGAGATAGAAAAACTTTATACTGTCAGATAGATGTGTTACCATTGCTGAACTTAAGGAAGACACAAGTCTAAGCCATGGATCCATTGAAATTATTATCAATGAACATTTACAGATGAATTAGATATCGGCTGGTTGGGTGCTAAAGTTTCTAAGTCTGATCTTAAGGAAAAACGAAATGACATTGCCAGAGAAAATTTTGAGCTAATTGAGGAGGATTTCGTCAAATTAAAAAAGAGATCAACAACCGGTGACGAAGCATGGGTCTACCACTATGATCCCGAGTATAGACGTCAATCCATGGAATGGCACCATTCCACTTCTCCGGCACCAAAGAAATTCAAGTCTTCAAGATCAGTGAAGAAAGCTATGGCCACTGTATTCTGGGATGCAAATATAAAAGCGTGTAATCCTTGTTGATTAGTTAGAAAGTCAAAAGACAATTACCGGTGCCTACTATGCTGATTTGCTTCATCGCCTGAGAGATTCAGCTGTGCGACAATGTAAGTTCGAAGAGCTTCCTCACCCTCCATACTCGCCACACATAGCACCAAGTGATTTCCTCCTGTTTCCTAAACTGAAAGAACACCTTCGTGGAAAAGCGCTATGACGACAACGATGACGTCAAAGCTGCCATGAATGGGTTTTTCAGGAAACTCTTCCTGACTGGAATTGAAAAGCTTCACTATCGATATGAGAAGTGTATTGAAGAGCATGGAGATTATGTTGAAAATTGTTGGTTTTGTTTGTTAGTCTCAGAACTTTTTAACAGCTCTCGTATGCTCAACCCGCTTGTTATTTCTTGTTTTAACAGATTAAAACTGTGCACTGTGCACGGTCTCCATGCCGACGGTGCTTCCTATCTGCTTAAAATCTGAAGGTCTGAACAATTTGACTGGGTATATTGAATATTTAATATTGTATGTTATTAAATCCCACCTTTACAGATCTGACTGACGAAGGCAAACTTGTATTTAGTTTAATGTAAAAAAATCAATTTAAATGAAATATGCACATTTAACAGTATCCTTCTTACGTTTATATGTATCCTTCTATATGTATTTATTTATCATATTTCTCATAAGCCTTATGGCTGTACGTTACGTTTGAATTATTGGGGGCACGGGTGGCCCAGTCGTCTAAGGCGCTTTTCGCTGTGCAGAGTTGCGTCCCTTGGAGTTGCATGCCAGAAACCAATGATTGTGAGTTCGAATCACGGTTCGCCCCGATTATGTTTCTAGGTTTGTCAGCACCCTACCCGTCCCTGTGGGTTTCACCGAAGTGGTAAACGTCTTAGACCTGCATCACTTCGGGCTTTCCTCCCACATTAAGCTGACACGATATAACTGGAATACTGTTAAAAGCGGCGTTAAACCAAACTCACTCACTCAATTGAATTATTTGTCCAATTTTGGAATATATACAACTTTTGTAACGTGTCACGCACAAAATAGCTCTATCTCTCTAAACATTGTGCAATTTTAAGTGAGTGAGTGAGTTGGGTTACCGCTTTGAGCAGTATTTTAGTACATCTTAAAACTCCATGAAGTTATATTACTGGGTATTTTTTTAACTGAATCACCGGTAGATTGGGAAAAAACGTGTGTACAGCTGATTACTATTTAGTTAACGAGAAAATACACATTGTAATCCAACAACCCAATCTAACTTATAGCAAACATCCGTAAACCATATAATCCAATATATAATAACTGTGGCCTAACTGCGTAGTCAGGAAAGCCTGGTCTCATGTTATTGATCTCGCAGACACTCAGCAATGCAATCGGTTTGGAATAAATCTATTTCTGTCTGTCGTTACGATCCACAAACATGTCCATTTCTATTGTGGAAACATGTTACCGATATAGGTTATCAGAAGCAGCTGTTATAATTTTACGTTCGTCATACCAGTTACTGTTGTTTAACGCCGCAATATTCAACCTAAACTGCCGGGCAAATGAAACTATACACGTGGAAAACGGATTTGACAAAAAAAACGTACAAACGTTATCAAAAAGTTACCAGGCCGAAAACAGTCGCCGAAACACTGAAAACTTAAGGTCCAAATCACAACAATGATACACGTATCACATACATCACCATTGAATAAACATTTCTTGTTGGTTTCGTTATTGGCCAGCATCAAACATGGGTGTATACTTTCCTTTGCCCGGTAGTCTATATGACGGCGGTCTGTAAACTATTGACCCACGGGGTATGATAACACGCAACCAAACGAGTCCCCGACCCTGGCTACTGGATGTATTAAGTCGCCTTTGACTTTATGATAATTTCTGAAACATCGCAAACTCGAGACGTTTGGTCAAAATATGTATTCACACAAGGAGTCTATGTAAGACAGATTAACAGGAACGACGAATCCATGTTGGATGCACAGGCCCCAGAAGCAGGACAGTGATATCACTGAAACACCGGACCCATATATATACTCTTAAAACAAGAGTCATCAGAAAGATGACATATCCCCCCGGCAGCTGTCTGTAAAGTAACCACAAGTAAAAGTGCAATTCTGTATGTAATGAGTCAAGAGTTGAATGTTC